CATACATTAAAAATACGTTTTATACCTTAGTCCAGACCCAGGTCACAGTTTGCATAAGCCATCTTCACAGTCTGTGCTACTCGATTGGTCCCAAACACCAGGCGATTTAGACAGATGATTCACATGGCAGCAATGATCAGATTGGCCAGTGCAGCCGAGGGGGCCGAGGCTGGGCAGAGGTAGCCGTGGGGACGTCGGGGACAATGAGCCCGAGACTCACTCTCGCTCTGTGCTGACGAGCGCTTCTTGGCCCCAGGTGACTTGTCGAGGCTGGTCTCCCTAGCTCTGTGACCAACTTTTAGACATGTGACTTTGAGTCTCATTGAAGCCTAAGTTTTGTGACAGGTTAGGAGCATATAGCAGGAGAAAGGTTTTGAAAAAAATGAGTGAAGTGATGTCACTTACAAAACTCTTCACTGACCTCTCCTTTCTCATGTGAACAAGGCTCCCTGGTGCTTAATATTGATAAGAATGAAGAACGTGAGCTGCATTTATGCCAAACCCTGCCTCGTTCTAGCAATAAGTAATCCAGTCACTTTAAAAGAAAGAATTGGGGGAAAAAATCTCATTTAGCACATAATGAGATGCATTTCCAATGACATTTTACCTTTCTACGTGACAGATGTCCAGATTTCTAAACTATTCGTGCATGTTTTAATTGGTCGTGTCCTATTAATTATCACAATGGTAACCACCTAGTAGAGAAAAAAGAGTTGACCATGTTATAACGAGAGGAAATTAAAACAAAGTTTTAATTTCTATGTGTTACATTCTGAGACAGAATTCATGTCGAGAAGCCAAGACGCGCTCAAACTACCCATTCACAGAAGAACTTGCTTGTTCCTTTCACGTGGAAGGTTCTGAGCATCACGATATGATCGTATTCAGATTACTTTTATTACATTTTTAAAAATGAGGAAACTTAAAAATTAATATTTGTAATGCAGTAGAAATGATATCTATTGCAACCAGTTGAACTCATGATGGAAACTTTCTGGTGTCAGTTAAAAATGTGGGAAGGCTACAGAGTTGTTCAAAATTATTTAGGGGTGTAGATGGAAAACGTGACCGGTGTGCATCACGCCCGCTGGTGCCAGGGCACGGTCCCTGTGCCTGCCTTGTTTCCCCTTTCTTCCCAGTGCCCGGAGCACGGGGAGCTACACCCAGGCAGGCCGAGATGAAGGACAGACGATTCTCGCCGGCCGTGGCTGGCACTGGGAACCGCAGGCGTCACCGTGAGGTGAGGAAGGGTTCTGTCTGTGATGCGTTCTCTCTGGGCCGTAAAACACGCTGAAACGACTGGAGAAATTTCCTTGCGTAATGACCAGCGAGTAAGCGATGTCATAGGACGTGAGACCTTTCGTTTACATTCAAGAATTCCTTTAAGAAAAGATTGAGCTTTCAGCCCGAGGACTGCGTAGCGTCGACTCGGCGCTTCCTCCCCAAGCTCTCGCTGGGAGGCGACGGCACTTGGCACCGCGGCATCGTGTCACGGAGCGGGCGGACCGCGGCATCGTGTCACGGAGCTTGCTTTTCCTGACGTTCTGTGGTGGTTCCTGGGGAAGTGAATTTAATCACAAATCCATGTGAGGCTTCTGGTAAAGACAAATGAAGTGTGTTTCTCACATTTGCAAAGATCACACGGTAATACTTTCTAGTTCAAAAAGGTCGTTCACGCCTTAAGAGCCAACGCGCCAGCACATTCATCAGCTCAGAAATAACGACTTTCCCCGGTAGAGCCACCAGAAGCAGCGGGAAGGAGACGGGCGGTGTGGTTGGTGCCTTTTCAGGCTCCCAGTGAGTCACCAGTCAGTTGTCAAAGGCACATTTATGTCCTGTATTTTGACTTGGTGTTTCAAAGAATGATAGAATTCTGGACCTAGAGGGGAGTTGGAAGCTTACCAGAGCCACTCGCTTGTTTCGCCCAGACGATGGGAGGGCTTGTTCGGGGCTCGGAGCAGGACGGGGCGGGGCGGGCTCCTCCTTCAGTCCCCAGATGCCTCTGGGTGTCAGGCTGGGGTCCCTGCGCCGCTGGCTCCATGGCCACCCTCAGGCTGAGTGTGGGAACTGGGCACACAGGAGGACCTGTAGGACGGGCCCCAGGCCTCTGTACCTTTATGTCACTCAGAAATTGTCACCACGCGCCGTAGGTCATGGGCTTAGTAATCGGAAGGAGCCGGGAGGAGCGGGGGTAACGAGGGGCCAGGGCGATATGATGGCAGCGTCCGATCCCACGGGGAGGACCTGACCGAGGGAGCCGACGGCAGGGCGAGGAGGGAGAGGAGGACTCAGGCTGGGCGCCCCTCGTGCATCCCCGCCCTCTGACCCTGCCGCCTCGGGCGGCTGTCCCAGCGGAGTTTCCGGAAGGCTCTCCCGGGCCCTGGGCCCATGCGCGTTCGGCTCGGTCCCCGCCCTCAGGCGAGCCCGCCCCCCAGCCTGGGTGCAGGCCTTGGGGTGGGGGGTCGTCCGTGACGGGGGGTGGGGTCACCGGCAGGGCGCTCCCGGCCCGTCTGGGATGCGTCGACACGTGCTTGCTGAATACAGACTCCTCACACCTCGCCGACTCGGGGTTCGCGGTGGCTTAAAACAGAGCGGTGACTCTCAACCTTTTCTTCCCTTTTTTCGCCCCAAAACTTCGAGGGATATAAAGCAGTCGCAAACAAGCATCCTCAAGGTCATCACTGGGTTGATGGAGGCAGGGCGGGCTCGGAGCCCCCTCCACCACGGGGGTGCTCAGAGTTTCCCAGGGGGGTCGTGCCAGGAAAACTTCCTGGACACAGGGGGTCCTGATGTCTGCTGGGAGGCAGCTGGGGGGCCAGGCCAGCTGGACCAAGCACTTACTTAGTACCTACTGTGTGCTGTTACCTGCCTCTGACCAGCCGCCCCACTCTACCTGGGCAGACACACCCAGAGCTGGCAGAGCCATCGGCCATGGCACCGTTGGCCTTTGTGTACGTGTCTGTCCCTTCATCAACAGTGAGGCACAGAGAGCTGAGACACTTGGATTGAAGAGCTGTGTTCCCAGGTCCAGTCACGGGGCCCTTCCGTTCCTGGCACACCCCCAGCAGGGGTGGCTTGCCAGGGACACTGCACCGCAGATTGGCGTCACGTCCGGTCCTTGCCGCAGTCCTGCGGGCTGTGTACCACCCGCCTCTGGGGCGACACCGAGCCGGAGGGGCCTGGACACCTACCCAGACAGCCAGCAGCGGCTCCGCTGGCGTTCAGGCGCAGGTCCCTGTGACCTGAACCTCCGTGCTCCGCCGCACTACGTAGAAAAAAAGTGTGTTTTGAACCGACCTACTTGTTCCATGAAGACGACAGAGGAAGGGCAGGACGCTGGAGTCTGCTCGGCCATCTGGGCTGCTGCGGACGGCGGTGCCGTGAGCAGCTCTGCTCACGTGGAGCCGGCAGGCGGGGTTGGTTGTGTGAAGGGACATCTCCGGGCCGCGTCCCAGGCTGTGTGGACGGCGCTGAGGCCGCTGTCCCAGGTGTGGCAGCTCATCAGCCGACCGCGGTCGGACAGGCTGGGCCGTGTCAGCCTGCGGGTGGTGCTCCTTCTCCGCCGTTGGTCCAGTCCAGAGCCTCACCGCAGAAGCCGGGAGGGGAGCCGGGAGAAAAGGGCCATTGTTGGGGCGCTTTCTGCCTGGGAGACACTGCCTTGTGCGTTTGCGCCTCTCCGAACAGCCCCCGCTTTGTCCGCTGCCCTTCCCTCGTGAGCTCTTCTGTGAGATGTCTGTTCTTCAAAACTCCTCTCCTTTTGTTTGCTTTATTGTTCGGGGTCACGAGTGAACCAGCACCAAGCAGGTTTCTCCCTGGCGCGGCTGTGGTCTCGTTAACTCTGAGCTGCTGGCCTGCCGACCAGTGAAGGTGACGGCGGCGAACGTGTCACTCGACAAGGAGTGTGTCACTACGTGGAGTGTGCACTCGGCACGCGATGCCATTTATTTATTTCAGGCATTTACTCATTTATCGAGGGAATGATTTTCCAACAAAGTACACGAAACCGCCACACGACACACAGACCTCATGTCCTGGACGCCCATAAGCAGTGCTTATTTAGATCGCATGTGTCTTGAGGTGTCTTGAAGGTTGAAATCTATTTCTACATCAAATTAAACAATAAAAACATAACTCTGGCCTGCGGCTGTCCTTCCAAGTCCAGCGTAAGTAAGAGGCTTGTTCCCCATGCAGATCTCAAATCCGAGATGCTCAGTGAGAAACAACCTCACACTTCATGCCTTTCCAGAGAGCTTGCTAGATGTGCCGAGGGGCTAGTGTCCCCATCGTCGGCGTTAACTTGGGAAGGAGCGGCGACCTTGATAATGAGGGGCCACTCTGCCCCTCGGTCCTGCCACCTCAGTAAGTCACTTCGTGCCCAGGGCCAGGCGGCCTCAGCCAAGGGCGTTGTCGTGATTCTGTTCAGTTTCACTCACAGGTTCTCGCCCAAGGTCATCTCTTATTCAAACCAGAACTTACTGCGTCTCATGTAAAAATGTAGGGGGACCTCGCAAGCAGCGTTGTTAATATTTTTGACCAAATTTCAACTGTCGCTGTGGAACCTTTGTCACAAGCTCCCAAGCGGTATTATATATGTCTAAGTCTGTCTATATCTCTAACCACCGCCCCCTTTTTAGAAGAACTCATTTTTAAGCAAGCGCGCTGAAACCAGGGCCAGCCTGGACAGTGCTGCCACCGTGTCTTCAATCTGCACCTGTAAACGTGTTGCCCGCAGCCACAGCCAGGGTCGAAATTCAAAAGGCCAAGGCATAACGTGCTGATTTCGGAGGGAAAACTTGGCTCTCGGCCACACCTAAGCCTGTGTCCCCTCTGCACCCCCCCAAAATTGAAATGTTTCTGGAGGAGGTTGTTGTGTCTGAATGTCTTGATCCCCAGCACCCCAAACTCCAGATTCCCACGGGATTGGGCGGGTTGGTGCTGCACTAGCGGGCGGTGTACCAGCTGAGGTGGCGGCTGACCTGTCCTTGCCGTGTTCTGTCCAGCGAGCCTGCCCCTGGGTCCCGGAAGTCCCTGCAGCATAGACGACGCTCCAGAGGCCGAGGAGACCGTGTCTGTGGGCAGCTGCTTTGCCTCGGAGGACACGACAGAGGACTCCGGCGTGATGATGTCCCCTTCGGACACCGTCTCCCTAGACTCCCAACACGACAGCATGAAATCCAGAGGCAGGTGGGCCACGGACCAGGAGGGCTGCAGTGACCAGGACCTGGCTGGAACCCCGGAGCTGGGTCCCCGAAGGAGCCCGTCGTGGGAGACAGACAGCTCTGGGCACGGGCCTGGGAGGTGAGTCACAGCTCGGCTGCGGGGGGAGGGCCTGCACTGCGGGGGGCAGAGGGCACTTGTCACGGCGCCCAGACAAACGCTCGTTAAAGTCTACCACCTGCCAGGCACCTTCCACAGGGTCACCCCTCCTGATTTGGGGTTTGTCACCGTGATGCTGCTCGTTCTAGGCACGCAGGGCGCCTAGCCCTGTTTATGCCCTGTTTGTGGGCGGTACCCTGCATGCTCGTCACATGCTTTTTCCCTCAGCAGCCTGTTTCTAAGATTTAGCCGTGCTGAGAAGTATCGTTCGTGCATTTATTTATTTTTTTCATATTTTAATTAACACACGCTTAGGCGGCTAAGGTTCCCCACCCCTGGACACAGCAAGCAAGCTGTGCACCTGTCTCTCTTTGCACATCTATCATTTTCTAGAAGGGAAATTGTTAGACTTAAGAAAAACTCATCCTCAACTTGCCGGAATGTTGACAGATTGCTCTCCAAAGTGACTGTCTAGATGGCACATCCCGCGGGTCCGTGACAGCCTGCCACCCACATCGACACCAACGTGTGGGGTTCGCAGGCGGCTTAAGCTTTGCCAGTCATGTAGGTGGCGTTAATTTTCGGTCTGATTCGTAAGGATGAGCGTCTCGCACACGTACTGGCTGCTCGATCTCCCTTTTCCGTGAGCTGCCTTTCTCAGACTTTGGCCTTTCTAAAAAGTTGCGATGTTCCTTTTTATTTAATGTTAACTTCTCCTGTGTCAGTTATTTACACACAGTCTTTAAGACTGGGGCTCGAATTTTTGTTGTTGTCATATAAAAATTATTTTCCAATGTTGTTGAATTCATCCTTTTTCTCCTGAGTGTCTATATGACCTGTGCATATTTAAGAGACTCTTTTCATGCCTCAAAAGACTGAAGTTTATCTGAATTTCTTGTTAAAGTGTGGCGCTGCCTTCTCGCCTGTGGGTTTCTCGTCTACCTGGGGTTTATTTTGGGGTGTGGTGTGAAGAAGAAATCTGTTTTTTCCCACCAGCTCCTCGTTCCCCTCTGGCCACGTATCAAGTTTCCGTCCAGGTCTGTTGCTAGCTCTCTCCCCGTGGCACTGGTTTATTTATCTGCTCCTGCCCAGCACCCCGTTGCCATAATTGCTTCCTTCACTGTTACAGAAGGAAACGGGTCAATTCTCCGTAGCCCATCAACCTTTTTCACTTTTTAGACCATTTTAAAAACCAGTCACACGATGTTATAAAAACATTAATGGGAATAAAGTAGAATAATAAAAAGCATTGTATAAGTCAGTCACCAAATCGAATGAATGCTTTTGTATTTCTCGTGTTTCCTTCCAACTTCGAACGCATATGAACAGACAAACTTTCATCGGGTTGATGTAATCGTAGCATCGATAATATTTGATTTGGATTTATTTTTACCTGATGGTTTATCAAGAGCATTTCACTATTTGCTAAATGCACTCTAATTATTTTAATGTGGAGCTCTTCAGTCTTAAGGACAACTCCAAGGACAAGTCCATATTTCATCACAGGACCTTAGAAGGTGGCAATCGGCCCGTTCCTTCTCCGCCTCACGAAAGATGCATTTAGCTGAGATTGGCCTGTGCTGTTTGCATCTATGAGAGCAGAGAAAAACTGTGGTATTTTTTTTCTTAATTCATTTAACATAAAGAAAAACTTACTTTCTGTGGTAACGTCCAGGTCTGCCCTGTCCGTTTGCGTGAAGAATGCACACACCAAGCTCCACCTCTGAAACTAAGCAGACATTTGTGACTCTGTGCCTGGGGACACTCGCCTAAGAGTCACCACTTGGTTTGCTGGAGTTACCGCCTGATGTAAAATCTTGCTAATTTCTATCTAAATACGCTAGTTCGTGTTGTCTGTGGCCGTGGCAAGGATGTGATGGAGGCTGACACTTTATCCAAATGGGGGGCCGGACGTGCTTTTCCGCCCTTGTGTCTGGGGTGCTGCTGAATTTGAGTAGCATGGTGGGGGGGTTGGCTCTGGAACCCGTCAGGCCCACAAGGGAATCCCGCCTCCACTAGCTAACTAGCTGTCTGGTCCCCGAGAGCCCCCCGAACTGTGCCAAGCCTTGCGTTCTGCTTATGCGTGTACTGGTGAGACCTCCCACCCATCGGAAGGGCCGTGAGCCTGTGACTGCCCAGTGCATAGGACACAGTACACATCCCGCAACTGTCAAGGAGGGTCCGCTGTCCAAATCACGATGGTCAGTTTGGGAAACAGCACACTCAGTGGCGTGAGCAGACTGCATTCCGGACGCGCTCCGCGGGCCTGTCCACAGCGTGCGGTGCTGAGCCAGGCCGCCGGGGAGCCGCAGGGGCGGGCAGGGCTGCGGACTGCGGGAGCTGTCCAGCACGGCCGGAGCGGAGCTGCGAGCTCAGGCCGGCCGGATGGAGCGGGCCGACTGCACGCCTCCCGACTGGCCGACGGTTGGGTTCAGAGAGCCCACGCGACGGGGGTGGCAGCCCAGGATCAAGCGGAAATCGTGTGGGAGCGGAACCAGCCACGGCCTCAGAGCCGCGGCCTCGACCCGGGCCCTGGACGGGAGACCTGCCCCGGAGCTTCCACGGGCCCCGAGTTCAGGGAGCGGCAGCAGTCGAGAGAGGCAGCCACGAGGGACACGTTCGTGACATCCCGCCCAGCGGCCCGCTCCGCCCGTGACGGCCTGACTCGCCCTGCGCCCCGAAGCGCGTGCACGGGGAACCCTGTGAGGCCTCCTGAGGGAACACTGCTCTCAGTGCCCACCGCTGCCCCCTGGACCCAGCCTCCCGGCTCCGCCCTGCGCGGTGCCAGTGCTTGGTTCCTACAGTGAACGCTGAGAAGGCCGTTACGCTCCCACGAGACCCGTGCTTACTGCCTGGCCAGCGGGGACAGTCCTGGCCACTCCATCCTCTGAATGCCAGGCCCTAGAGACTTAGGCAAAGCAGAGGCTGCCCTTTGCCGTGGCCGGCAAAGCTGAGCCTCTCCAGGTGGGGAGTGGGTTCTGATAGGTGTGCACCTGTCCCCAGCAGTCTCAGACACCTCAGCTTGAAGAAACACCACTATGTGGCCAGAACCCAGCAAAACGGGGGTTGTCATGGTTTCCAACATGACCTGAGTGCCCAGGACTGTCACCACCGCTCTGTCCTCGGGTCTTCATTGAGTGCTTGCTGTGGGCGACAGTGTAAGACCCTTTGTGACCTTAGGTTGTGAGGTCTCCAGAGCTAAGCTTCAGTTTGCTTGGGTGTTTCTCCTTTCTCTGCGCCCTGCAGGTCACACAATCCTGTGGCCGTCTCTGTCTAGGATGGCCTGGGGTGCCACGTTGGCAGATTGGAGACAGGCACTGCCTCCCCCGGAGCTGCCGCTTAGCCGAAAGCATCCTTTTCACCTGCTCAGCCCAGCGGCAGGTTCCCCGCTCCCGTCCGTGCCGCTGGCTCACAGGCTCTGGCTGGGCCCTGTCTAAGGCTCTCGGAGCCGAGATTTGGGCCGGCTCAAGAATAAATACCCGTCTTCTAAAAAGAACAAGGCCGAATGCTTGCTAATGACTGGAATACGTGAAATCCGTCTGGGGCGCCATGATCTGAAAATGGTATATTTTCTATCAAGTCTTCGATTGGATCCGATTCTATCGTTTCACCGCAAAGTAAGTCTGTGCCCCCGACTCAGTCTCAACCCCGTAAGTGGGACATCAAGTTCCCAGAGTCACTCCCTACGCATAGTGCCACAGTAATAAGCGCCTCAGGGAATAATTCAGCCCAGAGGCGCACCGACAACAGAAATGGCGTGTGGTGACGGACCCCCTCATTGTGGGGACACTGGGAGTGGCCTTCTGCACAGCTCTGCCTTGGGCAGGAGGGTTGTCGCTCACACCCGCGACTGCTTGCAGCTCTCTTCCCAGACGTGCCTTTCCCTTGTGTGTGAGGGGTGAAGCGCCCGCGGTCAGACTGCCCGCGCTCGTATCTGCCCGTTGCTGGTGACCGCGTGCCTGTGGCCAGTCCCTTGACCTCTCGTTTCAATGTCCTTGTCAGTGCAATCAAGATACGCAGGGCCTCCCGCTTAGACGAGAGCCTGGCACACTGCCAGCCTTCAGGACGTGAGAGCTGGTGTTATTATTGCCGTTGGTGTTGTTATTTACAACTGCCTGAGGAGGGGTAGAAACGCGATTTGGTGGGAAATCCTTAGAACCCGTAGCTCTGATCGCCGGCCTCTTGAAACTACTTCCAAGATCTTTGCTTGAGAAGAAACGGTTTGCGCTTATACACTCACGCATACACGTCTGTCTGTGGGTAGATGGGGAGGAAGACAGCTCTGTTGCCACCTGCCTCTCTGGGGGGTGCAGTGGAACTTGCATGATCTCTAAGCCCTTGAACCCTGAGGCAAGCTCGCTGTGACCGGGCAGCTCACCTGTCTGTGTGTAAACGTGTCGAACCCTCGGTTCCCGGGTCCCTGTAGGGGACTCCGCTCTGCAGGAACATGCCATGCAGGGCGGATGAGGGAAATCGGGTAAGTGGGTTTCGGGCTGTTTCTGAGCAGTAGGGCCTGACCGAAATCGCATACAGAACCACAGAAGACAGGTGTGTCACTTCTCCAGGTGAGTGGTGCCTCCCTGGATCGCCCGCTGCCCTCGCCCCTCCACCTGGCAAGCCCTAAAGTTCCTTCTCGGCCCCACATGTCAGTGAGCGTTGGACGCCATGGCTGGAGGAGTGAGCGGCTGTGCTGGTACCTGCAGGGTTTATGGTTTCGCATCATTTTACGGGACTGACAAGGCACGGGTCACTGGCAGAGGGGCCAGGAAAAGGCTCGGCCCTGGCTTTGCACCTGATCACACCGACCGAGGACTTTGTAGCCACAGGAACCGTGACCCAGGAAGCATTTAGAAACATTTTATACCACCCAGAACCCTGGAACTTTGTAATTAGAGGAACCCGGTGGCCACAGGAGCACGTGGACACATTGAACGCCTTCTAAAACCCGGAAACTTTGTAACTACTTCTACAAAAGAGCGTGTAAATAACGTTTAAGACCCCAAAGAACTACACGCCTCAGGACGCTTGGCACCGGCCGCGTTAGGCTACTGGGCACTTGCCAAGTGGTTGGCTGGAAGAAAGGTGTGCTTTAAGTGTAAAACAAGCTCCGAATGTGGCCTGAAAGGGATAGTTCTACATTAATTAAATGTAGAGAAGGCGAAAATAATCTGGGCTAAATAAAGCATAAAATTAAATAAAATTAAGGTTCAATAAGGCATTTAATTAAAATTAGTCTTGGCTACTTCTTTTCATCTTGGTAAATGTGACCACAGGAAGGTTTAACAGTGCACATGCTGCTCATATCACGTTTCTGTTGGTCACTGCTGTTTAGAATCCCGAGGCTTCGTGAAGTAGGAGCGTCGGCAATGGATTGGGGAAGGTGAGCGCGTGTGGCTGTCATCGGCTGTGTGTTTTCCCAGGCTTCTTGCCTTTCATTTGTCAAGTAATTGTTTGGAAATCTTACGGGTCGCTTTGGTTGTCCCCAGCAAATAAAATCGAGGGACCTCTTTTCTCTCCCCGACTCTTTCACCCCCATGACTCTGCCATTGAATAAGCTGTTTGAGAAACTCTTTAGCTCCTTCAGATAGAGAACTGACCCCCTGGGCTGCAGTCAGGCCACGCACTTTGTTTCTTTCTCATGTAAAACAACAACAACAAACAATAACAACAACGAAAGCGCCCATTTTCGGGTACTCATGGGACCCAGCTGCCCCTCGCTCTTGTTTGCAGCGAGTGGTGAAGTGAGCGGTGAAGTGAGCAGGCTGCACCCCTGGGGAACGCGCCCCGCCCCTCCCGCACCCCCCAGGGAGCAGCCCGCCAGGCGGTCCCGCCTCCCTCCGAGACAGACTCTGGTTCGAGGCTCGCCAGTGCTGCCCTTGGTCCCTCGTGTTTGACGCAGCGGTGGCTCGAACGTCATCGTGTTCTCTGCAGTCACAGCTGCATGCGAGGAACCCTCCTGGCACCCCCATTCCACGCGTGCGGCCCGGTATTGCCACGTCTGTGCTGTGCGTGCCCTTTCTCTTCCTGGTCGGAAGCCACAACTGTCAGCCGCGTATCTCAGGACGGGGCGTGTGCCGGAGGCAGGGGGTGGGGCTGGTGCCCAGGAGAGGGGCTGCTGTGCACGGTCACTTTAAGCTCACAAGGGACGGCCGCTTCTCGCCAACTCTGAGCTCCTCGGGGACAGGGACGTGGGGCGCTGCTGCTGCACCCACGGCAGGCCGCCGTCCCGCCCAGGTGGAGAGGGACAGTTAGGGTCTGTGAGTAACCCCGGGCGGGGGGCAGTCGATGGTGGCGGGTGACGGAGGAGACCCAGGTGTCGCTGCCTCTCTCCTTCCCGAGATTTTATGTCATAAAGCAAAACAGGGGCCGCGTTATCTATTTCGATAAATCATTGAAAGGGAGACTAAGGAACGAAAGTTCGTACCAAGGTAAAGCGATGTCTCTGCTTCTCCGTGGAACGTCCCCAGGGCTTTGCAGGTGGATCCGCGGCCACCGCGTCTTCACCAGCTCTCAATGTTTTCTCCTCCCTTTCCACGCGTGTAAAATGATAGCATCAGTGGAATTTTTAATCTTAAGTTTGTTTTTAGTTCTTACGAAAATCCTGCTCTCGTCGCGGAGTGATGCGATTTTGCATCCTTCGAAGTAAAGGCGAATACTTTGAAGTGAAAGTCTAGACATGATTTCGTGTAGCTGGACTTTAAACATCTTCCACTAAGAACGAGCACTTCAAAACTGCTGTTTCTCGTTTCAAATGCCACTTTATATAGCGTTGTCCAGTTTTTCCTGCCATATACTTTCTTCGATATTTGAATTAAATGTATTTGGGCAATCACGTTCCATGAAGGAGAAAAAGGCAACTTTAGTGCGATGCATTGAAATAATTAAAGTCTAAGGCAAAAGCAATAGGAAAGACAGTCTGTGCTGCCTACGGCCCTTATTAATTGGTCCACGTGCGCACACCTCTCCAGCCCGCCCCTTGGTCTGGCTCGTCAGAGGGCATTAGCTGAGACTAACCTGGCAGCCACTTCCTGGCTCCCACAGGGACACGGTTCCAAGTCAGAACGACTCATTTATCAGAATACAAACTCTGCCACGTGAGGCTTGTGCGAAGCGTGTCTCACGCCTCGTTATCTGGGCCCCGTTCGCAGTGACGGAAATTGGTCCTCCGTTTTAGCAGGCAGTGGAGAAAGCCTGGCCGTTCCCTGAGACACGGTTGCCGTGACACGTCCCTGTCCCCTGCACCGCGAGACCAGAGTGACGCGCGCCCTTGCAGAGACGGTTTTCAGACCGCTTCGGCGGCACCTGTCCCATGGATCCTGTTGTCCCAGTGACACAAATAACGCAAGATCAGCTCTCGAGGGCGGGTGGCCTGCCCTCTTCCTGGAGGCCCGGGTGGCAGCGGCCACGTCGGACCCCAGACACCAGACTCAACAGCCATGTGGCCTTGGGCAGCCTGTCGGTGTCTCGACACGGCGCTTCTGATGTGGGAAAAGGCAGTAACACTGTGAGCCTTACAGACGGCTGCGGAGAAGGACAATAAGATCATCTGTGCCCACGAGCTCAGTTTGGAGCCCGGCACAGGTGGGCCGCACGGGTCCCGGGGGCGGCCGGGGCCTGCGCTGACAGGCGCTGCCTCCCGTGGGGCCCCGAGGAGGTCCCTGCGGAGGGCCGGTGTGATGGTTGCTACCATCGTCACGTCCTCTCAAAGCGAGCAGGAAGCGTGGCTCTGCGGGCGGCATACGTGGGCCCTCCTAGCCCCGTTCCCTCCATCACCCACCCAGGGCGAGAATTAACCCAAAGTCAAAGCATGGAAAAGGGCATAGGGCCATACGTCACTCTGCTGGGGTGAGCACAGACAGAGGCCGTGAGCGTGGCAACCCCTCCGTGATGCAGCTCGAAGCCTCCGTCACGGGGCCCCGTGGGACCTGGGGAAGGCTCCCCGTAGGGCAGAGCAATGGCCGTGCAGGGCCAGGGGGCGAGACAGCCCAGCCCTGGCCACCAGGTGTGTTTGCAAGCTTGCATCCAGCTGGCCTGATCCCTTATTACCTGCCGTCCCGAGGGACGTGGCAGGTGCAGGTGAGCTCGGCAGAGATAAGCAGGCACCTCCTGCTGCCACGCCGGCTCGTCCTTGTGCGGCAGCTGGTGCTGGGCAGGGAAGCTTAGACTTCGGACTGCAGAGGGGCGGGGCGGGTGTGCTCGAGGCGTCGCTGATCTTCCTGGTCCCCAGCCCATACACGCGGGCAGCGCACACCACACCCATGTGCGCACACCACACGCACGCGCACACACACACACGCACGCGCACGCACACACACACGCACGCGCTCACACACACACACACACACGTGCCGTCTGTGTCTCGGGCAACAGAGGTCCAGTGAGTATGGAACAGCACAAATCTGAAGATGAGCTTAACCTCCCTCAGATATTTCTAGAAAGAAGTACATTAAATAAGCAAAAAGAGGAATGAATGCTCTTGCTTTCTTTTTGGTCGGTCCTAGAACAGAAAAACCTGTTGCAGCCTCCGGTGGTGACAGAGACCTGTGTATTACTGGAGAGTTCCAGCGGACCCTGGCCGAACTTGACGAAGACCTGGAAGGTAAGCCCGACCCCCTACGGTTGGACGTCCTACTGTGCGCAGAGGACTCTGAAGGCTACTTTTTCCGACCACGTTTTGTATAACGAGTGCAGAAGGTACAGATAATCTCAGTCGACAACCAGGGAATCTTCCGGACAGAGGCATGTGGTTCAAATAAACTAGAAATTAGGTGTCGGCATAGAGTTCTGTTTTTAAGCGGAGGGCATCAGCAGGTCATCGGCCTCAGTACGTCGTCTGGAGACATCGTGGCCCCGGCCAGCTGCCCCTCTGCTGAGTGCCGAGGGCTGGGGGTCCGCCTGGGGACACACAAATGACACGCTGAGCTGATGCATGGGAATAAGTCACGCGGGAGGAACCGCGGGCGGGCGAGAGGCCGGGAGTGGACGGTGGGCGCCGACCGTGACGCGTGCTCGTGCTTGTTCGCAGAGATGGAAGAGAGGTACGAGACAGACACCAGCTCCCTGAGCAGCTCCATCGATGGCGCGTCTAGTTCCTGCATGCGAGATGCCACCGTCCCCGAGAGCGACGCGGACGCAATCCCAGTGACGTTCATCGGGGACGTCTCAGAGGACCCTGTGCAGCCGGCGTCACTCCCCAACAGAAACAACAACGCGGGGTCCTCAGACAGGGCAGGCACCGCCAGCAGGCCGGCCCGCGAGTCGCCAGCCCCGGCCGGGCGTGGCC